GACAGTGGGTGGGGAGTGAGTGCGGAGGGCGGGGGGGGAACTGGGAGGAGGGGAGTTATGGGGGAAAAAAGAGGAACAAATGTAATAATCTGAACAGTAAAGATTTAATTTAAAAAAAAAACAAATAACCTAGAAAAACTGCCTTCCTTTCATTCTTTTAATTTTCCAGTGAGAAAACAAAGGCCTCAGAGGTCCTACAACTCGCCTATACCTCTTTGACACCTGTCACAAACCAAGCATAAAACTTCTAATAGGAAAAATTGGTGAGGTTATTTAAATTTACCCCATTTTCATAGAACCACAAGTAGTAAGTGAAAACATTTCACTGAGCTGGGTTATCCTCTACTAGCAAGAGAGTTAACAAAGTGATCCATCCACATTTATTGTCTACCACACCATGGCCAGGAAGTTCTATAGGAAGGTATAGCTCTTCAAAAGATCAGAAAGGGGTTCTGATCATCCCCAGTTACCTTAATGAAAAACATTCTGCCCTCTTTAATTTTGCAAGCTATTTAGAAAATATTAGTTCATGTAAAGTCCAAACCAACAATATTAAAGGCTCCAAATGCCTCAAAGATTCTTATAATCCAAATTCTCCTCCTCACACTATTCTGATCCACAAACTACTTTGTCCAGTGTCTGAGCACCACAGATGAGCCCAAACCTCTTTAGAGAACATCACCCAGAAGTCTTAAACTTCAATCTCTAGCCTAAATCTGGGCACAAGACTTTACCATTCCTCCCACTTCATTGCTAGCATGAGGTCTACTGGGACCACAGTTTTCCCTTCTGGTCTTATTAACAGCTGTCTCCACAACTCATGACAGAGATGTCATTACTTGACAGAAATCATTAGCAGCTCACACTATCACTGAAGACCTTTCCAGCTGACTACTCAGTTTTGCCATCTGGCTTTATTTTCTTCCCTCAGAGGAGTACGGTGTTGTTGGTTGGTTGAAGGACCTATTTGAGAGATGGTTCTATTCCCAGCTTGATATGTGGATTGTTTCCCCAACCCTGAGGCTCTCACTCCTCAGCAGCAGCCTGAGGGCCATCCTGATGAGGCTAGAGACATCCAACATGGTCCTGTGCTACCAGCTGCCCTCTCTGCCTCTTTCTATTTCTCCCACTCAGGTGCCCTTGATATGGCAAATGAGCCTTCTGTTGCTTGGAAGACGTACATTCAAAACCAAGCTGAGATAAAATAAGAATAATCTATACTCAGTGCAATAAGCAAATGAGTCCCAGCTCAAGGTGGGAATTCTATCCCAATCGGTCTGTGTGTAGTTCTAGGTTTCTATTAGAAACAAATTCTGAGACAATGATTTCAATGTGAGTTGTTTTATTTTAGAAGTAATTTCAGGAAACACTGATAAGAGAGTGCGAAAGGGAGACAAGGAAGAGAAGGAAGCTAATAAAGTACATTATCAAGCCTATTCCTACTGTGTTCAAGTGGGGAACTTCAGGAGACAGTGCAGAATACCCCTCATAGTGATGCAAACTGAGAGGCAAGGAAGCGAGGGCACTAACACTCTCCTGTCATTGGTTAAAAGTTGCTTCTGGGGCCATTAACTGTCCCCATTCCCACCCCCAGCCTTTCCATCTTGCCCTGCATGCAGACCTGGCATGCTCCCTAGCCAGGAAAATTTTACAGATGTCTCAGGCACAGTCAACCCATGAAAGCCAAGGTACGTGAGTGGGCACCGAGAGGGTCGACTACCAAGCACTAGTTGCCTTATCCTGTTAACTGGCTTATACGAGTCACACTTAAATGTCAGAACTCTGAGTGGATGATGAACCTCGACTCTGCGGAAGTCTCTAATTGTAGTACACCAAAGAGAATGAACTTATTTCACAATACATTCCCTTAAAACCTTGTCAAAAACAGAACACACTGTAAGGGGAGTGTCAAGGTGTTGAGGAACATGAACTTCAACTTGTTAACAACCAATAATGACTCACCTCCTTCCAATCCCCCCCCCATATCCCCTAATTCACTGCTGAGGACCCCACACTTAAAGAACAAGCAAGCAAAGTTCTGAGGAATGAACTGTAAATATTTGTTTGGCTCACAGAATGAACAAAGTGATAAAATTCTGAAAGGGAAAATATGTTTGTGCTTCAAGATAAATCACCCCCAGAAACTGCAATAATGGCTTCTTGCATTTTCTTCTTGCAAAGGCAGGGGTCTTGAGTTTTTTAAAAAGTGTTTAATCAGATTCATATTTCAGTACCACAAGGAAGAATGCCTAGGTTGAGCCAAAATGTTCATTAAACAACCATTTCATTGAGCATCTTTTATGGTGTTTACGTTGGAGATACAAAGATAAATAAGGCAATGGCTACACAGAAGAAGGTCATAATCTTTATATTACTCATAGTAACTATGCCCCATATAGCAATTTCCCTATAAAGAGTAAAGAAGGGAAATGGGAGGCCAGATTAAGCAAAGTCATTCCAAGTATTTTGGGCAAAACAGAGAAGGCAGATGTTCTAGTGAAAAAATGTACTGCAGGCAAGGGAAAGCCAAATGCAAATTTAGGAGAAAATAGGGCATAACCACATAAAATACTATTATATATAATAACATGTTATACTCACTGGATCTGGAGCCACAGGAAGGAGCTATCTGACCAGATGGGCAAGTGCACATATTCGGCCTAGAACAAAATCCATCCCCACAAGAATGCCGGCAGATGGCTGTGAATAAAGCCAGAGGGTGGTTAGCACACGGTTTCAGCACACACTGACTGACGAGCACCCAGGCCTCAAATGAGAAACCTGGGATCTCTGGCTCCTCCTTAACTCTGTCATCGTGACTTATGGGACCTTAGGCCTCGGGTTTATTCATTTGCAAAACGAATCATTTGGACCAAATAAACTCTGGCTATAAAATTTGGTAACTCCCTTATCCATGTCAGTGGTTCTCAACCTCTCTTGGCGTATTCCACAGCACTCAGTCTATCCAGGGGCCCAGACATCCTATGAAGGGAAAACAAAAACACAAATCCTGCAGCTAAACATACTTAAATACCTACAAGCATTCTGTTTTTATATCAACATTAAGATTTACTGATACAAAAATTACCACAGTATTCTTGGAAGTCTAGTTTATCATAAATGCTTAATCTTTAATAATTTTATAAAAATACCGAGGCCCCCTGAGCCTCCTTCTCTAGATCAGACCCTGTTCATTGAGAACATACGATCTAGGGAGCAGCTCTGATCCTGCCTTCAATCCAATTGTGAGTCATGTCCACAGTCTGAGAGCAGACGTCTGAAATCCACTGCAACAGTCCTGCCTCCACAGCCAGGAAGCTGTTTAAACTAATATCTTACTGGTACCAAATGCTTTGCCAGTAGCCAAAACAGTAGGTCTAAATGGCAAGTGATTTCTATTTATCACCAAACTAAGAGTTGGTGACTATTTTTTAATACTCATAGGCAAGACCCTTTTCTCAAACTCCTACACAGCCTTGCAAGAGGCAAATGAGAAGGCAAGGCTAAATACAATACACTTGATAGAAAATGCACTGAAACATCAAAACATCCACGGATGGAGACTAAAAACTATTAAGTAAAAAACTGTCAAAGGATCCTATAAACATTTTTAAATATCTGGATAGCATTTCTCAGAGATTCTACAGAACACCAGGGAAAAGGTTCTGTTGTTAAGTTCATTTAGAAAACTCCAAATATCATTTATATCCCTGTTTTACTGACTCAACTTTGGTTTTGAAATACATGGCAATGTGTTAAGTGAATAAGTTGCTTTTGGACAGAATCAAAAATTGGGAAAAGGACCCTGGCCTGGTAATTCAGTTGATTAGAGCATCATCTCAATATGCTAAGGTTGCAGGTTCAATTCCCCGGCAGGACACATACAAGAATCAAGCAATGAATGCATAAATAAGCAGAACAATGAATCTCTCTCTCCCTTCTTCCCTCTCTCCCTCCCCTTCTTCCCTCTCTCTTTCTCTCTCTTTCTTCTCTCTCTCTCCCTCTCTCTCTGCCTAAAATCACTTTGGTGAAAAAGAGAATTGGGGAAAAGGATTAATTTTTTCAGCTCACCAAGTGAATATTTATTGAAAGAGTCTTTTCTTATCCACATACCACGGTTAGCCAAGTGAGAAGGTAGATTGAGTGATTCCTTAGTGTCCTTTCAGCTGTATATTCTCCCATTATACTAATGACATTTTCTGAAAACTGAAAATTATTTCATAGGTATGATGACTGTAAAAGTTCATGGAGAACAGATGCCATAACTAATTTTTCATATCTCCATTAAATAACATCTGGCCTGGCATGTGGTGTACCACTCAATATTTGTGGGCTATTCTGAGAACCTGGATGTTTGCCACAGCAGCACAGATCCCAGAGGAATCTCTGGTACCACTTGAGTTCTTCCCTAATATTTCCCCTGGTCTTCATCTGATGCTCTATCTGCCTCCTTTCCCCTTTGTCTAACAGGAAGGTCTGCCTGTGGCCTTGACCACACAAACTCAGCGTACAACATTTGGGTAGGCTTGTGGGTGGCCAACAAAGAAGTTAAAAATAAGGAAAACAGCAATGGTAACCTTCTTTCACAATCCCTTCGAAGTGATCATGCAATCTATGCAGCCAGGCACAGCATATGTGATGACATCAACACTGACCAGGGTGTCCCAGTACCCTAAGGCCTATTTCTGTATCTCAGAAATACTCCAAAAGAAGTCACTGAGTTAAAGGATATTAATGGTCTGACCCCATTAGTGTATTTCCCATCTGGATTCAGTGAAAGTAGGGAAATCTTAGAGCTGAAAGGTACTGCAACATATTACTGGTATGCAGTTACAAAGGACCAAACACTAAAAATCACCATTCAACCAAACCACAAAGGAAGAACATGAAGAATGACAGATTATCTATTTACTTACGAACGATACACTGATTTCCAGCAGGTAAGGTTTTCCATCCAGGGCAACAGTAAGCGTTATAACGTGATCCACAGACATTGGGTCTGAAACAAAAACAAAAGCAAAATTCAATGATAAGAAACCCATAAAATTTGAAGAAAGAACTATAACCAAAAAAAGCAAAAAATTCCTGAGTTATAAGAACAGGATGGCCCTGGCCAGGTGGCTTAGTTGGTTGGAGTGACATCCCATCCACCAAAAGGTTGCAGGTTCAATTCCCTGTCACACATACCCAGGTTTCAGGTTCAATCCCTGGTTGGGGTGTATACCTGAGGCAACCAATTAATGTTTCTCTCTCTCCCTCTCTATCTAAAACATCAATTTAAAAACATATCCTTGGGTAAGGATTACAAAACTTCTTTAAAGAACAGTATGAATCTTTGCAGACAGAGAAAAGTAAACTCATGGGACTCAATGCTGGCTTTTTAGTTTGAGACACTTTAACATAATGATATCAATATGGATATCCCTTAATATCACCTGCGCATATAGTACATCAAAGAAATAAAACACAGGGATGCAAAATACAGTGCCTTCTATCCCAATACACAAATATAAATGTTTGTAGAGCTATAGAGGAGTCTAATTTAAACAATAAACTTCTGCCCAACTGGCATGGCTCAGTGGTTGAGCATGGACCTATGAATCAGGAGGTCACGGTTCGATTCCCCGTCAGGGCCTGGGTGTGAACTCAATCCCCAGTGTGGGGTGTGCAGGAGGCAGCCAATCAATGATTCTCCCTCATCACTGATATTTCTATCTTTCTCCCTCCACTTGCTCTCTGAAATCAATAACAATATGTTTAAAAAAAAAAACAGCATGAAATTTCTAAATAAACATTTAAAAAAACAATAAACTTCCTACCAATCTAGTTAAGAAAGGGCATCATAAAATATATTGCATGTATGACTTTAAATTTCTATTCATTGAAGCTGTGTACATTTTTTTCTATGGCCCAGTTCACCTCTAAAAAGGAAGAATGACCGCATTCTTCCCTTCACCAGAATTACAGGAATGCGAATCCTGACATTACTCAGAATAAATAAAAGCCGAAACACATAAATATTTCTTTAGCCAAAGTTTGGAAACACAGTTGATACCCAGAGTTACAGGAAAATAAAGTCAACGTCACTCTGGGCTTCTTGTTTACAGACAACTCATCACACATCTTAGAGCAAAGCCTCCATTCAAAATCCAGATGATCCACATTTAAAATTTTAAGGAGCAACTGGGTAAGGATCCAGCTAGTTCCACAATGGCTGCAGATACTTGGCCTAAACATTCATGCTAGTTCCTCGAGTTCAGGGACTAATGAGGAAGGTCAAATGTTTTGCAATCAATTTCACAAACCAAGAGCTATTCCAAAGCTTTCTGGAATACTGTAGCCTCATAAGCATAAGCCTTTAAAAACAAATGCACGGTTGGTGTGAACTCACACATTCTCCCTATGTATGCAGAGCATCTTCCTCTGAAGTCACTACTTGGACCACATGCAGGATTAAGAATGCAGGTAAGGTCTTTGTCCTGTCCTGCACACCTTTGACAGCCTAAGAGAACCTGGAACACTGCAGGATAAAATGCATACTTCAGGCTTGCTGATGCTAAGGTCAGAAAGAGAAGTAGAAAGAAAGATGGAGGGACCAGGCTAAGGGCCCTAAATCCATACCCAAGAGCCAGGGCTTCTCCAAGGCTAAACAGAAAATGATTGAATAGAGACTTCATATGTACATTATATGACTTTAGGGCCTTTCTGGTCCTTAGTTTATTTCTCTATACATTAGGATAATGAAATATGTGTGTCAGTTGAAATAATGGATATGAAAGCTCCGTGTATGAAAAAGACAATGAAAATGCAATGTATTTCAGGATGAAATCACCTTCTAACCTAAATTACCTACTCAGCCAAAGGAACCATAGAAAAGAAAGAAAGGAAGGGAAGGGAAGGGAAGGGAAGAAAGGAAGGAAGGAAGGAAGGAAGGAAGGAAGAAAGGAAGAAAGGAAGGAAGGAAGGAAGGAAGGAAGGAAGGAAGGAAGGAAGAAGAAGAAGAAAGAAAGAAAGAAAGAAAGAAAGAAAGAAAGAAAGAAAGAAAGAAAGAAAGAAAGAAAGAAAGAAAGAAAGAAAGACCTTGTAAGAATTCTTAGCCAACAGCCATCAATCCTTTGCCCCTCCTGTGAAGTAGTGCCAAAAACTTTAGTTCAGTTGCCCCAGAATTTCCTAAGGCAACCCAAATTCTTGGAAAGGACGATCAGAGGAGAAGGTAGGGTAGGGGGCTAGGTGGTCGGGGGGAGGCATGGAGGGCACTCAACCTTCTAAACTTCATAAATGTCCTCTCCATCTAAAATGACAATCCAGACAAAAGTCAACCACCTCAAACTTTCCCCCACCAATAGCCCATTTACAACAACCCCACTGGATCCAGTCCAACCCCAAACCAAATCCTGGAATGGCTTCAGAGGGCCCCTGAGCCTTTGCAGGGTGTCCTGTGTTTGGAGAAACGATGTTTTTCAAACAAAAATCAAGACATATTGTCTGACAAGAATGAGTATATTTATGGAGCAACAACACACATAACAGGGTGAAAAAGTTAAGAAAAAAAGAATCAGTAATTTCAGTCCTACAAAGCAAGATATTCAAAATATTTTCCAAGGTATTTGACAAATCACAGAAATAGAGTAATGCTTTATTGGTATTTTTAGTGTGTAGAATCAACCTACAGAGGAAACATGTTAGATGTTATATCTATGTGAGCTATGTCCCCATCTTTCATGGCAAGGAGCCAGTGGGTACCGTTTAAATCTAAGCAGATAGGTACAAGCAAAGTAGATGGTGCTATGCAGATAAATATGAGAATAATTAAAGACAGAAATGGTTAAAACTTGTTGCCTAAGAGCTGAGGACCTGGGGAAGTGGAAGGATAATTCTTTTGCTTTCTCAATTTTAAAAAATTTTATCTTTATTGTTGAAAGTATTACAGATGTCCCATTTGTTTGTGTTTGTTTATTTGTTTGTTTTTCCCATTGACCCCCCCCCCCCCCACCCCGGCCCTCCCAGGCCTTCGCAACTCTATTGTCTGTGTCCCTGGGCTTGCTTTCTTACTTTAATCCCATCCCAAACTGTTTATTTTTAAAATATACACTGTTATACTTTGATCATCTTTTTTTAAAAGATTTTTAAAATTGATTTTTAGAGAGAGAACAAGGGAGAGCGAAAGAGAGAAAAACATGAATGTGGGAGTGTAACATCAATTGGCTGCCTCCTGCATGCATCCCACCAGGGATCAAGCCTGCAACCCAGGTATGTGCCTGACCAGGAATCAAACCAGCAACCATTCTGTGCATGGGATGATGCCACACTGGCCAGGGTCATAAATTTTTATTTAAAGCAACAACTTACTTTAAAAGCATAAACATCTAATCTCAAACAAGTCACTTTCTGCTTTACTAGTTATCACAGTCCCTTTTTTAGTTACCACATTTTCCTTTCACTGCATTTCTTAAGATGCCAGATAATGTTGAATTGTGACTTATTTAGTTTGCATGTTCTGACTTTTTATTGTGTTTCATAACTTTACCCTTTATAATAAGTAATACATCATTTAACTTCAGTTGTTTCAACCAACATCTTCACCTGATGATTGTTTTAATCTCATTCATCCTTTAACAACACTAAATACCACTATGTTATATGACTAAATGCAAAGTATTACAAAAATGTTAAGATTTCGCCTCTGCTGACTTTGGTCTTGAGAATGGCAAACTAACAACTCATTCAAGCAAGCTGGGTGGCATCTGTTCTACGTATGCACAGAAAAGAACAGCTCCAATTCTAGAAATAAGTGAGTGTCTTATTTAAGTTGGAAAGCACTAACACATGTAAAGTCTAAAGTAGACATGTTGAATTATTTCCATTATGAAAGACATTAAGGTTTCAGCACAACAAGTATTAACAAAGAAGATACGTCTTTAATGAAGCTACGTTCGTGTGTAAATGGAAGTGTAGTGTTCATATACCTCTTTCTCTTCCTTTTCACTTCATCAACCAGACCCACTAGCCCACCACCAAAAAAAATTTCAGAGTTAAGCCCCATGAAAGTGGCAGTAGCATTTAGCAAATTAAAGGTAAAAGTTAAAGGGTAAAGAACTTCATGATAAATGCTAAAGATACATTACTTTATCCCATCCTCATAGCAGCCCTTTGAGGGGAGTTCTGTTCCTGTTGTTTTTAACACGGAGGAAACCAGGGAGTTGGAAGGTTACACAAACTACCAAGGTCCCATAGCTTGGAAGTAGAGAACAGGGATTTGAACTCAGAAAACCTTACTCAGAAATACACCCTCTCAAGCCCTATGTTAAGGCAGAAATGTATTTAGGAAACAAGATGACATTTCATGGTGGCATGAGTAACAAAAATCACAAAATGTCCATCAATAGATCAAAGATAAAGCATAAATTACTTATAGTTGTATACTACTAGTTCATGGGGGGAAAGAGGAAATACATTTACATGCCATGTCACCGCTATATATTACTTTTTTTTTAATTGCTAAGTCTTTATCTGTAACTTCTCTCACAAATTGCTGTGAATATTGCGCTCTGCAACAGCCCACTTCCAATCAGTGTGGGGGATGGGTGAGCCTCAGCAGGCTGGATATTTGGATCCAGTTCAGACACAGCACTCAGAGATTGTGTGGGCTAGCGAGAGCCCCTCTCAATGGAGCAAACAGCTGGGCTCTACCACGTCTGACCACATTATTGCAAGAATTGGCCTCTGTGCAAAATGTCTGCAGTGTGTCCAGATTCCTTAGCCAGAACCCACTTCTGCGAGTCTGGCCTCTCTTATAGCAAGATAGCCTTTCTGTCTCCTATCCCGAGTGCAAACTGCTTTTCAGACAAGACGGGGGGTAATAGAAACAAGTTCAGGGGCTCTTATTGCATCCTCGTGCGTTTCTTAGGCTGTGATGTGATTAAGTCCTTAGGAAGGAGAATACTAAATATTAGATAAAGGTGAATGAGGTGGACACTGCCCCATGAGTTGCCAGCTTTC